AGAAAGCGCGAGAACGAAAAAAAAAAAAAAAAAGGTAGCGTAAAGATAAAGAAATTCCAAAAACTCTTTTTCTCGATCGAGAAGAATCGAAGCGAAACGGGGAAAATCAACTCTATCAACCCAAACCAAAGATCTTTCACTTGCAATCGAACGGCATTCAGAACGGAATTCAGGGTTTCTTTTCGCTCTATTTAATTAATACGAGGGGAGAGCAAAGGGGATGGCTCGAGGGGTGGCCCTCTAACGAGGCTACTATCGTTCTTCCCTCCAAAGAGGTCTCTTCTCCACAACCTCTCTCTCTATCTCTCTCTCTCTCTCTTCTTCTCCCTCTGTCGGTCGCGGACGTTGGAATTACGCGACGCGGAGGAGTTTCCCCGACTGGAAACGAATAGCTTCTCGGCGAAGCTCACTCTCGTAGTTCCGCCACGGCACGGTGGAATAATTTCTGGAATTCGTTAATTGTAGTGTAGTCCGGAAAGTAGAGTCGGTTGCCAAGTGGAATCGTCCCGGCGGCATTGTCGGGCAGAAAGAAAGAAGAGAGAGAGAGAGAGAGAGAGAGAGAGAATCTTCCGATTCGTCAATTAGCTCTCGAGGTCTCGATTCGAGGTTAAAAAGCGAATGAAAGCTGGTTTGGAGGGGAAGGCTGTTGACCCCCTCGTTTTAAATGGCCCCCGAGACACCGGATCCCCGATTCATCGAGCGGGCCAAATTGGCCGCTGTCGAGTTTTAAGAAGGGCAAATATTTCTCGTGGCGGGGTTGTTTGTCGATCGCGATATCCCTCGGCTTTCCTTCGCCTTTTTATTTTATCCTACCCTCCCCTCCGCGATTTTTCAACGACAGCGTGTCGCAACCTCCTCTCCTCGGGGAAAAAAGGATAGAATTGCCGCGGCGGCGTCAAGTTGGCGACGGAACCCATTCTGAAACGCGATACCCGGCTTGTCATCCGCCGGATATCCTTGCATCCCCGCAATTTTTTGAAATCCGCAACGACAAATTTGAAAGGAACGAAGACTTACACCGTTAAACCCTCTTCTCTCCGTTTTTTCTCTACCGAATTTAAGGAATTTTCAACGTCTTTCTCTTGGTTCGAGAGTAAACGATTACTTCGAATCATTATTCGAAACAGATTTGTTTTATCTGAAATTATTGCTCGAAAGTAATTCAATTTCGAAATTTTATCCACCCGCCGGATATCCCCGCAATTTTTTGAAATCCTCAACGACAAATTTGAAAGGAACGAAGACTTACACCGTTAAACCCTCTTCTCTCCGTTTTTTCTCTATCCGAATTTACCTCAAAATTTCTTTCTCTTGGTTCGAGATTTGTAATTTTACCTGAAATTATCACTCGAAAGTAATTCAATTTCGAAATTTGATCGATCGAGGTGATCATATCCTCGCGACTTTTACAAAACTCTTCACGCCACGGTCTTTAATTCACGGTAAAAAAAAGGAAAAAAAAAAAGAAAAAAGAACTCGAATAGAAAAAGATAAAAAACAACAAGGTTGAAATCCTCGAATCCCCGAGAGACCGCAGACCGGCCACACGCGCGATCCGATTTCCATCGCAAAAATTCTCCTCTCCTCGTCGATCGTCCGTCGATCGAAGATAGCGGGGAACCGTTTAATCGTTGGCTGAGCAAACAAAAACACGGCCGCCTGATTCCGTATGGATGAACGGTGGCGCGTTTAAGCCGTGTCGGATTAAAGGATCGAGAAGCTCGAGCAACTTCCGCTTCCCTCTTCGGATTTCCCCGCGAAAAAAACGCAGAGTAATATCTTTTGACGAGAAAGAGAGAGAGAGAAAAAGAGAGAGAAGCCTCGTCCATCCATCGCCTCTGGGATAAAGTTGTCGCTTGTTGTTGGAAAATCACGGGAATCGTAAAGGAGAGGGGCAGAAGAGGCGCCGAGACGTCTCGACGCCGGTTTACCGCTGCTTTATCGGCGTCTTCTCGCTTCTCTCGTCACCGACCTTCTACTCTCCTCTCTCCTCTCCTATATTTCTCTCTATCGATCGTTTTTCGACGTGGTGGCCAGTCACGAGCCACTTTGCTCGAACCGTTTCCTAGCCAGACGCCGGATAAGCGACGCCGATGGACCCTGCGTAGGAGGAATCTGAATTTTTCTCGCTCGTGGAAGGGGGAGAGATTCGCAAAGGAGATTGCATGGAAAGATAATAGATACTCGTTTCAAGAGTTGGTGATAGAAATGTTTGGAAAAAGGAAGGCCAAGTTCAAGGTTTAATCGTAAATGCACGAGTGTTGGAGCAGACTTGGTGCAAGTGTTGTACATTAATTCCAGGGAAAATACGCGACTGTTGGAGCCGTATTATTTTCCGCTACATCGACAAATCTGAAGGATATAGCCGCCATTTGGTTAAGGAATCTTGGAATCTCGTTCGAGAAGGAGGTTGGGTTGTTTATGGGATGTTTGCTCGTGTTATGGAAACTCGGAGGGAGAAATGTTTCGCCGGGTTGTTTGCAAATGGAACGGCGTATGAGATGGCGCGATCCGTCTCAACAATTCCATTTCCTTGGCGCCAAACCGTAGACATTAACGCGTTTCTATCAGGGAATAGAACTTCCGTCACAGTTGCACGCGATAATCGCCAGAGTGATTCGAATCCATCGATATCGTTTCTTGCCATTCCTGCTAATTTCGTTCGATCGATCATCTTAATTTTTCTTCCCGATCTTTACAAAGATTCCTCTCAATATATCAAATGAGCGAATCTGTGAACGAGACTCTTTCTTCCTCTAATCTCTTCACTTTTTCCTATTTTTAAAAATATCTCTTCGGATAGAATGGATAGGAATACAGGCAAAAAGTGTGGTGAAAGAGGCGAAGGATTTCATTGCTCGTTTCAAATACGATCTATCAGTGTAAAAGTTCTACAAATAAAATTATACAACACGGTTTATCGACAATATAACAGCAGTACTTTCCTCTTTCAGTTGACGATCCATAAAAGTTAGAATTTTAATTCTCTCTCTCTCTCTCTTTCGTCTCATCGATCCACATTTTAAATTGCATCATGGCGACAAAATAAATTTAAGAAGAATGTAGGAGAATTGGAAAAATGTTTCACGATACAGGAATATATCGTGGATGCCCTTAGAAGGTGCTCATCTGGAAAGGTGCAAGGCCACTGGAAAGTGGTCCAAGTATCAGCCCGGTGACCCAGAGGTTTCCGTTAAATTATACAGCGCGCTGACGCGGCGGTTTTCGCGCCGATAAGCATCGCCTCGTTACCAGCCATGCGCGTTCCCTCCACCCTTTTCTCCCTGTGGCCCACGCGCGAGATTAAAACACCTGCACCGAGGAGGGGCTCGAGAAATCGAGGACGACGACATCGAGGGTTGACGCGGAGCCCTCCCACGAGGGCCTCCGTATTTCATTTTCGAGAGGAAGCACAAGGAGGAGAAAATGAAAAGAGGGAGGATCCAAGGGTAATATTTCAAGTATAGGGGATCCCCCTCGACGACGATTAGTCGAATGATGGCATATCGTTCGAGAGATGTTTTCAGACGACGACCAACTTCTTCTTCGCTCCGGGAAAAGACGAATTTTCATTGCATCGCGCGCCTCTGATTGAAAGGTGAAATTGTTTGGAAAATATAAGTTTACATTTATTACTTACGATTTTTATTTATTGATTTAAGCTTATTTAAATTCTTGACTATCATTGACATAATCAGCAAATACATAAGTTTAGATCCCACTGGATTTTCAATATTGTTTATTGTACAGCATTGATCTAATAATAATTTAAACTATTATTTATAACATATAGTGGTAACTCTTGGCTATCCATTGACGTGATTTATCAATAGGTGCAAATATGAAAAATATAAGTTTGGATACTGGACTTGCAACATTATTTATTGTACATATAGCAGTGATTTAAGAACTCTAACATAAACTCTAACATTCATCAGATGTTAGATACAAATTCTATTGTTTGAATTGCACGTGGAAGCAAAGGGATGACCAGAAGCATCCTTAGGTCTATTGTATTGCTCTGCCGAGGAAACAAATCCAGGGATTATAAAACGTACGTAGCGCAAAACTTAAAATTTTCCCATCACATGCAAGGGAACAGCGTAGAAGTTAAATCTGTATGTGATCTCTACGAGCCAAGGGAATAAAGATCTATTTGCGAAGGAACCGTGGCGAGTTCCTTCGAAGAGATGCTCGAAGGAAAGAACTACGATCCACCACTCGTTCCATGACGTTTATTTCCATATTCGAGTCGCCCTAAGGAAACGTTCGAGAAAAATCCCGTTGCTCCGTTATTTTCCTTCTCGAAATTATTCGAGAATCGTTCCCTTCTCCCTTCGGCGACGAAAGTGTCTTCGCCTCCTCCCCAGCTTGTCCGAATCGGGATATTTTCCCACCCCGTCTCCGACCCGTGGATGTCGAAATATAGTTTCACGACAAACCCGATTTCTTCCGTCTATCGGCTCGTCCCCCCTAATAAACCGTGGGAGGGGGAATTCTCGCGGGTTTACGCGGTCCAAGTGCGCTATTTCGATCCTCCGGATATACGCGGAGAGATCGAATCGAATCTCACGTTGCAACGTTGTAAAGAAGGATTCACGAACCGTGTAACGATTATTACGTCGAAATGCGGTTACTCCTGAAACAGATTTCTCCATGTATGAATAAAGTAAAGCCAACATCATCGTTTCTGGCGTGCTTTCAAAGGAGACGATGTTTTTTTACGAATTGTCGTAAAAATATCGCACGCCCGTGTAATTTTCTTATTACGCGACAAATATTTACCGAATACTGCCACTTTAAAAATTCATCAAAAGTGTTGTTTCTGTTTATCACATTGCGCGTCACTTTTGCGCGTAGAAGAATCACATTTACATCTGCGGTTATAATTTTGTTCATCGTGGAATTACATTATAAAATCGAAATTACGATATTATGAATCGTTATCCGTTTTCCTTTTCCAATGAAAAGTGTTTCACAGTGAATTATCCCGATTGCAGGGCATTCGGTTTTCCAAGGGCGTTAATCGGCGAGCACCAAGATGGCAGCTTTCGTGGCGAAGCAGATGGTCGGCAACAAGCTGAACGCGGTTAAAGGTGAGTTTTGTATTTTCTCGGCAATATCCCGTTTCGTCATTCGCTCCGTAGAAAATTTTCCTGTCGCCCCAATTTCCACGAGCGACCAATTATTAGCAATCATCCACCATCGATCCTCGAGTTTTCGCGGAAAGATCGCTTTTCAACCGTTTCGAAAGCGCTTTCACCGAGTAGCCGGCCCGATAAAAGGCGGAACAGAGGAGGAGAGATCGGGTATCGATTGCTATTGCTGCGTAACGGGGCCGAATGCAATTACAGTCCGCAGACTGACAGCCAATTTACTAATTTACGTGGCGCGGAAATCGTTGATCTCCGTTTAACGCGACCAAGAAACCGAATTAACCGAAGACCCGCTCCACTCTCTAAAGCGATAAATACGTTTCGTCGGTGTAGTAGAATAAAGCTTCCTTTTTTTCTTTTTCACTGCTTCTCGTCGAAAATAAAACTGTTCGACGGAAACTGTTGCCAAAATTCGCGTGCTTCGAAGAGAAGGAACGACGAATTTGCTATTCTCTTTATCTCTTCGAGTAATAACTTTTCACAATTTTCGATTGTTTAAAAATCTGGCGTTTTCACGCTCGAAAACTAAATAATCTTGGGACGATGAAATTCTCTTTGTTTCCTCATTACACTCGGATGGCAATTTCGTTCCAAAAATGAATTCACTTCCCGCGAAGAGTGTATCAAAGTTAGAAAGGAAGAAAATTCATATATATATACGCACGAACGAAGTTTCAAGAGAGGATGGATGATAAACGCGGGAAAGATGAACAGGGACGAGTGTTGTACAGCCATCCGATGGTGATCGCTAGGATATTAGCTTGATCGACCAAGCCTTCGAAAGTTTTCCCCGATATAAAGCAGCAAATATCGACGAGCACCGATCGTGACGAATTAATGGCGCGAACGTGAGACCGGGAGTTTCATCGTGTCTTAATATATTTCTTCGGGCGGCATCAGTCTCTCGCCGCGGTAATTTAACACGCGAATTAAGATTGATCGCCAGGCACGGAACAGGAAGGAAGGAAGGAAGGAAGGAAGAAAGCATTAGATCAAATGACGAAGCACCGGTGGGCTCCCCGTGGACGAGCAGAGAAAAAGAAAGGAACGCCGCTTATTTCATTTTTACCGCATCGATCCGAAAGAAATCCTCGTCTTTCTTGACTTTACGAGAATAGAAACCGGCTCCATATTTTCGATTAATAATCCCAGTTAGAAGTTTGGCTCGGTCACGCTCGAGGAGAGATAGATAGACAGCTGCGGCATCCCATACTTTCGTTCCATTTTCACGGGCCGTATCGAATCGCGAGATTAAAGGGAACGAGCACAGAGCGGACAGGGGGGCGGATTGATTAAAACCCATCGTCGAGGGTCATCCAAGGGGTTCTCTAAAACTCGGAGATGCGTCGATCGATCGCATCGTTCCTGCGGGTAAACTGCGTTATCCAACGGTTGGATAATCGCTCGCAACTAGCCACCTCCAACTCGAAATCGAATCGAATAAAGTGTGCGGTAATTGGTTCGTTTTTCGATCGAAGATAGATACACTTTTCCCTTCTCTCAAGCATCCTCGTGCATCTCTCCTCCTTTAGATTCGATACTTTTTCAAATGTATCTGTGTAATAATCTTTCTTCACCCCTCCTCCCGCCCTCCCTTATCGTATTTAATATCCTAGCGAACGAGGCAGCATCAAAGAACGACGAAAATTGAAAAGATCCAGGTCTATGATCTTTCCTCGAGCTTCGAATCGAGAATCTCTCCCTGCACCAAGGTAAGTCTTGGAGGGGAAGTTCGTTACTTGGGGAGGGGAGGGGGATGATCCTCCGCGGAAAATAACGAATTCCACGGTTTGCCCTTAATTTTCCGCGGATTTTCCGCTTTGGGCAGCTTGGAAAACGCCATTTGGCGAACGGGGCGGGCTTAATCATTGTTATTCGAGTTTAGAATTACAAGTTGGCTAGTTAGAGCGGGAATTGAAGAGGAGGCAACCCGCCTAGGCCGAGGGCCGACGCGTCGCCGGCTGGCTTGTCGGCTTTGCTGCCAGCTTGAACGATGGCCCGCAATAAAACTTGTGTCATTAAGGGAAAGTTTCAGCCCGGCCGCGAGCCGAGGAGGAGGAGGAGGGAACCGTATCGCGAGGAATCCGTAATGGGAAACCTTCGTCAACCGAACCTCGACCTCGAATCTTTCTTCTTCGTGGCCGACCTTAACTCGAAGCGATCGATCAATCCATCCGTCCAACTCTTGCCACTCTTCCTCCTCCTCCTCCTCCTCCATTCCTTTGGATATCGCGAACTCTTTGACAATCGCAAGAATCTTGTGTATACAGCAACGCGCTACCAGTTTCGTATATTCTGTTATTCCTCAACGAGGTTTTTAATATCGCATCCCATGTCGATGCTGCCGATTCGTCTCTTCGCTTGTTCCATATTATTGCGTAGTTTTTTCCATGTTGTTATATTAGTTTTATGTATTACTTTACAAGTTGTTGTTAATTCTTTTTTAAATCGTAAAATTATATTCCCATACCATTTCGCAAACAATTCCTTTTAACGTCGCCGTTTTCTTCTCGAACTCTTTCACATTTTCGTACGTACACGTTTGAATTTTATTTTACGTTACCGTTACTTTTGTATTATTATTTTACAAGAAAATTATTTTTCACCATCTTCCGTTTCTTATTGATAATTATATATCGTCGTTTTGCAAGCACTTTTTTCCTCTCAACATCGTCGTTTCGCTTCCCGATACGAATTTTTCTTTTACATCCCCATCATGCACGTGCCATCAATTGCAAAGACGTTTGAATATTACTTCACGAGAACTTTCTTTATCGATACGGCTCCTTATACGCTACTTCTTTTTTACATCTCTTATTGTTAATTCGTTTCCTCCTCCTCCTCCTCCTCCTCTTCTTCTGTTATTCGTTCTGCTTGCTCTGCTCACAATGCCGATCCTTCCTACGTTATTTTCCCTAAAGACCTTTTGTAACGTCGTCGCCCTCGATATTTTTTACGTCTTCTTCTCAAGATCGTTTCTCTACTCTCCTATTACGTACTATATACAACGTCGATTGCAAAAAATTTCTTTTACAAAATCATTTCCCAACGTTTTCAAATTTCAATCAGCTGTTTTATTCTTCTGCTCGCATAGCTATGATCCTCCCCCTCCCCCCTCCCCCTCATTCTCGTCGAAAGGAAAGGATCCAAAAAAAAAAAAAGAAAAAGAAAAAAAAAGGTAAAGTTTACGCGAGAAACATTGGGATTCTTTCGAATTCCCGATAATCGCTTCCCTCGCCAATTATCACGATGGTTTGTCCATCGCGATGTAGAGCAAGAGGAATCGAGAAAGAGGGAGGGAGGGAGGGAGGGAGGTCGGAAGTTTCCAAGTGGCGGAAACCCTCGGCGGTTTGTTCGGGGGGTGGTTTAACGGGAAATGCGGTGGGAAACTTTCGTCAAGCTTCAAAGAGTGGACGAATCGAATGGCAATTAGTTTTCGTATGACCTGAATATAGAGAATGGAACGTGTGTGTGCGTGCGTGTGAAAGAACAGAGACGGGATGAAAAAGAGACGTTCGGGTAGAAAAGGGATGATCGGGTATCATCGAAAACGACGAGAGAGAGAGAGAGAGAGAGAGAGAGAGAGAGAGNG